TTTGTTATTGTTATTGCTGTCGTTGTTTTTGTTTTATTAGTTATTATTATTGTTATTATTATTATTATTGTTATTATTATTATTATTATTATTATTATTATTATTTTCGTCATTATTATTAAACGTCTATTACTTACAACAGACAACTTTGAAAATTTATTAATAATTTAAGTTGTTATTTTAATGCCCTTAAGTGTTTGGACGTGTCATATCCTTAAGTATCGTTCAACAACCCTTAGTCACTATAATGAGTAACCCTTGAACACAAATATAGAAAATAATACATGACAAAAAGTACTTATGACTCTTTGAAGGTATAAAAGACACATTATATATCAAACAGCTGACTAAGTTTTACATACTTTCCCAACACCCTCGGCTCGATGACGTAACATAACAAGCTCATGTTAAGGGATTCAGGTATGATATAATTAATTGGGTAAACTTGTTGACAGGTAAGCAGGAAGGAGATGGACTCATTGTTAGCGGCCTTGCTAAGTTTTAATTAGTTGCATCGGTCGTTGCAATATGCAGCTGAGGGGGCCGGGGGGGGAGGGTGGAGAGTGGGGATGGAGGAACGGGTACGGGGTGAGAGGAGGTGGGGCTGGAGGTGGTGGTGAATAGGAGGAGGAGGAATGAAGGACGGTTGGGGGAGGAGAGGAGGAGGTGGGGGATGAAAACGGATGGGGGATGGAGGAAAAAAGGAGGAAGGAAGGAAGAAGGAGTACGGGAAGGAAGAAGAAAGGGTTAAGAAGAACAGGGGGAAGTAAAGGATAATAAAGAAAAGATTACAATATTTCCTCAGTTACATTGTACTTTGAAAAGAGAGAGAGGTAGACACACATACAGACAAAGACAAACAGACAGACAAACAGACAGACAGACTAACAAACAGATAAAACAGACAGACAGACAGAGAAGACTAAAGAGAGACTATTAATATGATAGAACCCTACAATTATAAGTATACGAATGAAGAATTAAGAGAAAATGAGATCATTATTCACCCCCTCTTCTCTCCCTTTCATCTATCCATCTCTTCCACCACATCTAATGAAAGCTTATTGTTAATTCTAAATCATCTTCTGTATTTTAATCTACATGACATCACCGTTGACACAAACTCCTACATCAGCATTAAGAACCTTGAGATACTAACCGAGAACCCAATAAAAGAAGGTGTCTGGTCATGTAAGGATAAGTTCATTAATTCACTAAGACATCAGGAGGAGGAGGAAGTAGAGGAGAGGAGAGGGAAGAGTGTGTCCAGGAGTAGGAGGAGGGTGTGCCCGGGAGGAGGAGGAGAGGGAAGAGTGTGTCGAGGATGAGGAGGAGGGTGTGCCCGGGAGGAGGAGGAGAGGGAAGAGTGTGTCCAGAGTAGGAGGAGGGTGTGCCCGGGAGGAGGAGGAGTAGGAGGAGGGTGTGCCCGGGAGGAGGAGGAGAGGGAAGAGTGTGTCGAGGATGAGGAGGAGGGTGTGCCCGGGAGGAGGAGAGGGAAGAGTGTGGGAGTAGGAGGAGGGTGTGGGAGGAGGAGAGAAGAGTGTGTCCAGGAGAGGAGGAGGGTGTGCCAGTGTGTCTGTGGAGGAGGAGGAGAGGGAAGAGTGTGTCCAGGAGTAGGAGGAGGGTGTGCCGGGAGGAGGAGGAGAGGGAAGAGTATATCCGGGAGGAGGAGGGAGGAAAATATGTGTATGGAATTATCACACACACACACACACACACACACACACATCAAGTCACCACAACCAAGGGATAATTTACCTCATGACTGGCTAACAAAGTATCATAAATCACCTTAGTAGAGGAAATAGTTATGGTAACGTAGGACTTATAACATAACAAAGGAAAATAGATTGTCAGGTGGAAAAAAATATGAAAAGGAAAAAAAATGACCCCACACACACACACACACACACACGCACACGCACACACGCACACGCACACACACACACACTTCCTGCATGACTAAGGGATCTCTGCCCTATAATTATGTTGTAACGCATCCATTGCTTAACACGGAGCCTCCAACGTGTTTTCAGTGAGGACTAAGGAAGGATTTACGCCCTCGATCCTATACGCACCTACGCATATTGGGGGGGAGGGGAGGTGGCGTATGATGTCTTCAGTGGGTTTTAGATACGTCTTCATTAATCCATTGGGAATATTATTTAATTTTTTACATTGTAGTTTCTTATTTTATTTCCTATTGATTATTGTGAGTATCTATGTAAATCCAATTATAAGTCTTTTAAAAAAATATCATTAATCCAAGTATGGTTAAATTTTGTGAAGGTTTATTTCGTCATTTTTAATATTCCAAAATCAAATGGTTCTTATAAACGTGTCGTCTATCCTCTTATCAACACACACACACACACACACACACACACACACACACACACACACACACACACACATATTATACCCGAGGGAAAATAAATAAGGAGTAATACAGTAAGTATCGTGTGGCTCAGGTCGGTTCCCTTCTTGGTGTGTGTGTTTCCCTGGCCTCCCGTGTCACCGCCTTGTTTTTCCGCTGATCCATTTTTTATCGCGTCTGTCATTTTTTGTGGGGGGGAGGTGAGACAAGGCCTATACGAGCCACCCAGCCGTTGGGAGAGAGGGGAGAAGAGGGGGGGAGAGGTGGTAGGGTGGTGGATGAGACGGAGGTAGGGAGAGGGAGTAGGGAGAAGGAGAAAGGAGAGGAAGGGAGAGGAAGGAGGGTAGGTAGGGGAAAAGATCCTCAGCCTAAATCAGTCGACCACAGAAAATTTGGCTTTTCCGTACTGGGGAGATTTTTTTGTCTCTCTCTCTCTCTCTCTCTCTCTCTCTCTCTCTCTCTCTCTCCTTATATAATGCGTGTGGTGAGGAGTTTCATGTTTCTGGACTAACTATTTGCTATGTTCTTTAGAGTATCAGAATGGTGGGAATTACGCCTTAATTGTTGGTATAAAATGGCAGAATTTTTTATATATTTTTAGGAAAAATAAAATGCCAAAATATATCCGATTTTAAGGTTTATTTTGTATTATTTTATAGTTACAATATAATACAATAATTACAATAAAATATTTGTTTAAGTGTATATAATTTTAAGGTATAATTAAATTCAATAAAACACGATTATCTTGACACGTATCATTTTATTTTTTTGAGTATCATAAGAAAATAATTATAGCTCCTTGATATTTATAGAAAACGAGATTTTTTTTTTACAACATAAATTATTAAAAAAAAACGTACAATACTAATTATATCTTGACGAAACGAAGAAAAAAACAGGAAAAATTTTAGTGAGACGAAACAAAAAATATTAAAATAATGAAGTGTAAATTAAATAAGACACACACACACACACACACACACACACACACACACACACACACACAATGCATCTCAAACTCCTATTCTTTCCTATTTCCCTTCCTATACCTCCTTACCTCCCTCCTTCATTCCCTCCCTCCCTCCTTCCCTTCCTCCGTCCCTCCCTTCCACCCATCCTCCCAGCAAGTCTGCGATCTAAGGGTGTTTTAAAGACCTTGGGAACTGCCACCATCCACCTGAGTCACCAAAAAGAAACAGTTCCATCACGCCATCACACCTTCAAAGTTTAATTACCGAAGACCACTAATTGTTACGTGAACAAAGGGGTCCCTTAAGGCGAGGATAGACAAGGGGAGAGATAGGTCCTTCGCTGTTTCCTGTGGCTTCGTCAGCTACTACTGCTACTGATGATTGAGAGGAGGAGGAGGAGGATTAGTTTGATGATTGTGATGATAAAAATGATGAGGATAGAGGTGATAAGAATGATGATAATGATGACGGTAGTGATGATGATGATAATAATTATGATAAGGGGATGCAGTATGTCTTTAACTATATTCGAGTGGATGCAAATATAAGTTACGAAGCGTAATATAGTGTGAATGAATTATGATCATTGGTAGTATTATATTAAACCTTATCTGCTACTGTACACAGATGGACGGAAATCATTAATATTATATTTACGGTTTCCGTTCATTATGTCAAAATGAGTTATCACCTTTGACGAGTATTACCTGTTCTGAATGGGACATGTAACTAATATTTGATAATTAACTTTGATTACCGGATATCGAAAATACTTAATGGAATATTGAGATTGGTATTTTCTAATCAATATTAAAGTAGATGATAAATATCGTGTGGAAATATTCTTCATTTGGTTCAGATGGTGTGTGTGTGTGTGTGTGTGTGTGTGTGTGTGTGTGTGTGTGTGTGTGTGTGTGTGTGTGTGTGTGTGTGTGTGTGTGTGTGTGTGTGTGTGTGTTAGCCGCTGTCACTGTATTCCTGTGTAGTGTGAGACGTGTGTGTGTGTGTGTGTGTGTGCCTCTATGTTTGTTGTGAGGTGCCACCAGGGGAAAAAATAGGTGAAGACCCCCCCCCCTATCCCCTCAGTGTCTTGTCAGTGGGAGGAGCTAAGGTGGGGGAGGTAAGCAGGGTGTGTCGAGGAGAAAAAGCTATATGTATTTAAATTATATAAATTCCTTCTTGTTAGTGTTTGTTTATTCTCAATGTTGAGGGTACAGGCAGTAGTGGTAGGTTCACCTGGTTAGTGGTACTCACAACGAACAGGTTGACTTGCAGTGAGTTATTATGTTGTCTTATGCATGAAAGGTGTGTGGAGAGATATCGTGAGGGATGTGTGGAAAGGTGTGTTGGGGGAATGTGTGGAGAGGTGTGGTGAGGGATGTGTGGAGAGGTGTGGTTGGGGATGTGTGCAGTGGGAGACACAAGTCACACACACACACACACACACACACACACACACACACACACACACACACACACAGTGCCGCCCACCTCATCCATCATGTGCCCCTCACTATCCGTCCAATCTCGGGGCATTTTTGCCTCGGGGTGTGATCTCAATGGCTGCTGGCATGGCGGCCCTGGGCACCGTGCCTCCTCGGGCTGTAAGATGATTTCCATCAGTAGTGCCACTCACCGCTCAGCCTCCATAAGACACCTTGTCTCTGTGATGGTCTGGTAGTGCTTGTGGGTAATACTGAGACCTCGTCTGTTCAGTTAGTGCCTGTAGAAGACCTTGTGTGAGCTTTACCACCGAGTGAGTTATCGTTGTTCCTCTGGCAGTGAGGTGGAAGGGGGTATAGGTTGAGTGCCAGTGCCAGGCCGTCACCCTACCCCGCCTCAGGATCGTGCCCGAGCCAACACCCGCCGCCTCCACCATCCCCGGGGGGGAACCGAGTACCCGTCATGAGCCCTGTGACACCGGCCGGGGGGACGAGTGCCACCGCCGCCCTTCACACTCCATCATAACGTCCTCACACACCGACCCTCACACTCACAAAACTCTGAGTTAGTTGAGCCGCCAGTCAATAAGTGTCTCTCCAGTGAGGTCGGGCAGCGGAGGGCAGGAGTGACACCCCCGGAGGCCTGTCAAGTACCTCCCACCGATCCCTCATGCTCGTGGCATTCAGGACGTCCCGCACAGCCCCCCGCAGCCACCCCGGAGTGCCAAGCGGTGCCTCCCGCCTCCTACAAGATTTATTGCTCAACTGGGCCTGAGGGGGGAACCCAGTAAGATTTATGTTTGCACGCCGGCACTGGTTGAAAGGGTGAGTAATTTATCAAGTGCTATTTGCCTTGTTGATAGCTCTATATACTCGTCTATATTCGGTGTTACTCCGTCTGTCCAGCCGCCATTACCGACTGTCACTCCTGGAGGAGCCGCGTCAGGTAATGGATGGGCCGCTGGGGGCACTCGGCCACGTCGTTCACAACCATTGCGATTAATCTCACGGCGATTCTCTCACTCACTCACTCAGTGGTGGACGGACGCGAGCCGAGGCCTTGTCGGGGGAGTTTGAGGATTATTAAATGAGAGTATTGTGACGGCGGGGTAAAAGGGGGGAATTAGCAGCACTTCCTCAGTTCTCATTACTTTTATCCTTTTCGCTCGGGTGTTAATTAAAAGCAGAGTATTTCACAAATTAGAGTCATTAATGTGTTGTAATAGTATGAATTATTTATCTATTTGAAGAATTATTAGAATAGCATTAGTGTGATTCTTAATTATCTGTAGAGGCATTTTCAGATTTCTAAACATAAGAACATAAGAACATAAGAATAGAGGAAACTTCAGCGGGCCTATTGGCCCATACTGGGCAGTCCCGTTTACACCCAACCCCTATTGCTCATATAAGCATCCAACATATGTTTGAAGCTATTCAGCGTATTCGAGTTAATGATGATATTTGGTAACTTGTTCCATTCATCCACTACTCTGTTTCCAAACCAGTGTTTACCTATTTCAAGCCTAAATCTAAATTTGTCTAATTTAAAACCATTGTTACGAGTTCGCTCCTGGTTGGATAGTTTAAGTACCTTTGTAATGTCCCCTTTGTTTAGCCCTGACTTCCACTTATACACCTCTATCAGGTCGCCCCTCGCTCTACGTCTCTCGAGGGAGTGCAAATTAAGATGCTTTAACCTGTCTCTATACTCAAGGTTCCTATTGCCCGGGATTAGTCTTGTCATTCTCCTCTGAATTCTTTCCAATGATTCTATATCCATCCTGTAATACGGTGACCAGAACTGAACTGCGTAATCCAGGTGTGGTCTCACAAGCGCAAGATACAGTTTTAGGATGACCTCGCTAGTCTTGTAACTAACACTCCTTTGTATGAACCCAAGTACTTTATTAGCCTTGTTACGAGCAAAAACACATTGTTTCCTTGGCTTAAGGTTCCTACTTATCATTACTCCTAAATCTCTCTCACAGTCGGATTTCTCTATGGCATCGTTGTTCATCTGGTATCTGGTTTCCCTGTTTACATCTCCTATACTGAGTACTTTACATTTGTCCACGTTGAATTTCATCTGCAGTGGCCGAGATTCTTACTTTATAACTTACGAAACAATACAACTAATATAGACTTTTGAAAGTCTATCTGGATATTTGGGTCAAGATATTTACTCTTTTAAACAGCACAGGTAGAATGTTCTCTTTACGGGTCTTCATTGTTTACTGTGTACATAAACTCACTCACCTTCAAGACATCATAAACGTACAGGTGAACTCTAGACGTAAACTGACAGAACTAAGTATTACTGAACCAGGTGTCTCAGGTGATTAAATTACACATATAAGAAGTGTTTTATACAGGTATTTAATATATTTCATCTGAATAATTACTTTTTGGAACTCATTATAGAATAAACATTTCTCATTAATTGAACATTTTTGGTATTAGAGAAATGTTTTTAGTATAAGAAAATGTTTGGGCATAGAAATAATAATTGCTGTAAATTTAAATTCTTAGTGTAGAACAAATTGATCTTGGTGTATACTAAACTTTATTTAGATTAATTAAACTCTCTTGGCATTAAATACATATTATTACTATACTTTGAAAATTTGTTAATGAAAAAAACTCACGGTGCATTCTTAACGTTGTAAGCAAATAATAATATTTTTATCCTTTTAATTGGTTTAATTTACTTTTCAATATAATTTCCTTGTAATGTTATCCTCTCTGTTTACATCATCAACGTTGTCATTATATCATTAACGTTCTCTGTACTGAATCGACGTTCTCCGCCTATTGGGAATGACCGAGTGATCTCCGTTTTTACGTTTAACATTTGCCACTGAACGCGAGAGTTTTTTCATATGGCTGACTGGCTCTCTGGATGCTGACTGGTTGACTTGCTTTCTGGCTGATTGACTGGCTTTCTGGGTGGCTGTTGGCTTTCTGGGTGGCTGTTGGCTTTCTTCCTAGCTGACTGGTTGGCTGAATGGATTGGCTGGCTGGCTGGCGGAAGGACGTGGGAGGAGAGAATTTTAATTAATTACCTGATCCCATCGGTCTCATAATTAATGGGTGATTTGGCAACCCCGTCATTCTCTTAGGTCGTGGGGGTAAATATCAATAAAGAACGAGACTTTCTTTAAGGATTTAGAGAAGAATAATTTTAATCCCTTGGCTAATCCTTCTTAAACAGTGTTGTTCCATGGTCATTTTCAACGCCCTGTCAGTAGTTATTGTTCCATGGTCCTTTTCATCATCGTCTCACTTATTGTTATAATAATATTTTTGGAACTGTAATTAAACAGATGTTGTGATTTCTATTGTTTAAGGATTAGTTCGTTTTTTTTGTTTATTATTATTATCTTTCTCATTATCTTGTCTACATTATGAAGAACTTTACCATCACCTCACCATCACCTCACCATTACTTCATTATCACCTCACCATTACCTCACCGTCACCTCATCATCACAAGCATCTACGTCAACGACATATTTTTTCCCACAACGTAATTGTAAATTGTCCTCTTGTAACAATTATTATTATCATCGATAATCTCTCTCTCTCTCTCTCTCTCTCTCTCTCTCTCTCTCTCTCTCTCTCTCTCTCTCTCTCTCTCTCTCTCTCTCTCTCTCTTCAGCTTTCTATATTTTACTTGTGCAGTCCTCGCCTTCCCTCACTCTCCCAGCCCTTTCTCCAACATTCTCCAGCCATCTCTCCAGCACTCACCCCAACTCCTTCCCAGCCCTCTCCTACCCCTCTCTCTCCAACTCTCTTCCGGGTATTCCCCTGCGCCTCCTTCTACAGACAGATCCTGCTAGCGGCTCCATCCGTCTCCGGGCGGGCCAGTGCAAGACAGCTAGGAGGAGAAAGAAAGTTACTTTTTTTAACACTTTTCAAGGTGTGAGCGGAAAGATATACACTTATACTTTGATAAACTTTTTTAGTACCTTGGCGTCGATCTAGTTATGCAATTTCGATTTTTTTTTATATTCTGAAAGTATGAGTGAAAAAATGTATATATACTTTGGTTGAACTACTTTTTACTTCAACATCGGAATATTTATATAGGTATTTTGTTTTGTATTCTTTCAAGGTATGTGTAGATAGATACAGTTATATTATTTGTTTTCTTTGTATTTGGTTGTCGATACTGGTATATAATGCCACGTTTGTTTGTTTGTTTGTTTCGTTTATATGTTTTTAATATTCGTAAGTCTTGGGTGGGAAAATTTTTTATATGTAATTGTACTGTGTCGCGTTCAGCTCCTCCTCCAACACCTCTTTCTCTTCCATCTCCACTTCTTCCTTCACTTTCTCCATCTCTTCTTCTTCCTTATCCTCTTCTCACTCCATCTGCTCTTCCTCTTTCACTTCTTCCATCTATTCCGTCGTTACCTTCCTCCTCCTCCTACTCTTCCATCATTCCCTCCTTCCCCTCCTCCTCCTCCTCCTCCTCCTTACCGGTGCAGGTGCTGGAGGCAGACATCTGGGAGGCCGCACCATCCGTCAGTGTTGCCAGACCCCAGACAGGTAGCGTGAGCCCTTGGCGTCCACCGATATGCGACACTCCCTCCTACAAGATATACCTGCCGTGTGTGTGTGTGTGTGTGTGTGTCTGTCTGTCTGTCTGTGTAGATAAAGGAATGGAGAAAAGGGATGGAAAGGATAGGAATTTATCATGTCAATAGATAACAGTTATAGTGATAAATTATATAGAGTCTGCTGCGAGCACCTGATACCTCCTTCAGGATCCTTTAATAACTCCTTCAGGATCCTTTAATAACTCCATCGGGATTCTCTTTGGAGCTACTTGATGTCTTTTGATAAACCATGCATAAGAGAGACAGACAGACAGATAGACAGACAGACAGACAGAGACTAGTTATTCTGTGATTCATAAATACTAATTTAGTTAAGCTAATTTAATTTTTTTTTTATGATTGATTGACATACCTTCGTTAAGAATTTTCTACCTGATGAATATTTCTCTAAGAATTTCTATACCTTGAGAGATAAATGTTGAAGAATATCTCTCTAAAGATATAAGTTGAGACACGAGTAGTTATTGAATCTCTCTAAAGGTCTCTTATAGTTAGAGACACTCAATGGTTAACGAATGTCTCTCTGAAGTTCTCTTGACTTGGAGAGTTAAGTGGTTAACGAACGTCACCCCAGAAGCTTACATTATACAAAAGCTCTGTAGTTAACGAGTGCTTCATTGAACCCCCACCTCCTCCCTCTCCCCCTCGCCCCCCCCTTCCCCCCCTCCCTTCATCTATAGTTACAGCATACGGCCCCATAAGGACATTTATTTCAGGGACTCAGTGTAAATGATGACTAATACCTCCTTCAAAGTCTTATTAACGTAGGAGCTCTTTGATTAATGGCTCCTACCTCATGAAACCTAATCTAGGGGTCTTGCCAATGGATCACTTTAAGGTCCCTGGATCACTTTAAGGTCCATGGATCACTTTAAGGTCCTTGGATCACCTTAAGGTTCATGGATCACTTTAAGGTACCTGGATCACTTTAAGGTCCATGGATCACCTTAAGGTTCATGGATCACTTTAAGGTCCTTGGATCACCTTAAGGTTCATGGATCACTTTAAGGTTCATGGATCACTTTAGGGTCCCTGGATCACTTTAAGGTCCCTGGATCACTTTAAGGTCCCTGAATCACTTTAAGGTCCCTGGATCACTTTAAGGTCCATGGATCACTTTAAGCTCCCTGGATCACTTTAAGGTCCCTGGATCACTTTAAGGTCCATGGATCACTTTAAGGTACCTGGATCATTTTAAGG